CAGGTCATGGATAGCGGACGTCGAGGGGGGAGGCGGAGGTGGTCCCAGGACTACCGGGGGTGAGGGCGTGATAGATTCCAACTCTTTGACGGCGTTGTCGTAGTCATCGCAAAGCGCGGAATAGCGCGCTGCATCGTGGGTGGCCAATGCAATGTTGCGCTGCTCATCCGAACCTGTGTGGGGTGCCGAGACGGAAGGCTCTTCGTGGTCCAGGTCGTCCTCATCCGATATACCGTCCGAGTCGGAGTCGGAGTCAGTTTCAACGCCTTTCGATTTTTTGGCCTTGGGTCCAGGTGCGCCGAGCGCGGTGAGCCTGAGGGGCTTCTGTGGCGTAGGCGTGGGTGCTGGGATACCCAGGAGGTCATCACAGATGAGCGCTGCCTCCGTGAACGCCAGTTTCACAAGTTTATCCATGGCCGCGTCCGACATTTGCACCGCCGCAAGTTTCCGATCCTCGGCAGTCAATGGCGAAGCATCGAAATCGAGGACGTAGCCGACTCGATGGTCTCGCTCGCGCTTCTCCTTGAAGGAGCCCGAGAGGAGAATCTTTTGACGGACCATGACATGCTGCACCATCTTCAAAAACTCGGCGTAGGTGAAGTTAGGGAGCATCATTCGCGCGAGCCCAAAGAAGTGCTCCACAAATTCGGTCCCGAGCAGCCACGGGCAAAACGGCTGGTCTGGATACCGGCGTGCGTAAACGATCACCAGCATAAGCATGCTGTCGCAGAATCTTGTAGCGCGCTTGTCACGTCGCGCGTCTCGGCCGCTTGATCAGTTGTGCTGGTCAGAGATGGGCCCTCATTCGGCTCCGTCATCACCACATCCTCAACGACGACAGCAGGACGCAGCAACCTGAATCAAGGTCAGTGGCTGGATATGAAAGGGAGAAATGAATTTCACGCAAGATTCTCGTATATTAATTCCAAAATCTCCCGACGCACTCTCGGTGTCGCATCATTTGTAACCGTGTCGAGGGATTCACCGTTCCCAATGACGCGGATTACATGGAGAGAGAAGAAGCCGCATGCGTAGCCGTTCATTTGGCGCTGGAGCTCGGGCGGGGAGTGCTTGATAACATCCCAAGGCTCCACATTGACACCCGGCACGCCGATTGTGGTAAAAACGGTTTCCACGACCTCGACCAGAGCCTAGATGGTTTCAGCAAGATCACAATGCATCCAGGTGTGATAGACTCACTGGCTCAGCCCACATATACGATTGAAGCTCGGGCACGCTGTCGAAGATGTGCAATTGACTTGCGCTGAGGTCTGCCCATCCCAAAACCCAATGTGGACAGGGCTTCGTCCCGTACAGCGGAAACAGCCATCGGGCCTTCGCTAGAAGCATCTCCTTTCCATGACCCCGGTACTGTAAAAATATTAGCGGCAGCCACTCATGCACGCACAGAGAAAAATACCGTATCCTCGATGTGCCCCGCAATGGTCCCATAAACTCCACCCTGCTGGACCTTCTTGGATATCAGGGGGCTGAGCCAGGTGGAGAAGACTGCGAAGTCGCCAGCTCCGTCCTTCTCACTGAGGATCTGCAGCAAGGAGCCGACCACATTCATGACCGCTCCCGGTACTTTGAGGCGTGCCCCGGGCTGAAAGCATTCGACGTCGTCGGCCCCTAACTGCATTCCACGCAGTCCATGGTTTGCTGATTTCAATGCCGCCGAAACTTCAGCTATGCGATCCATGGCGAAGACTCGCGGCGCGTCAATGCGGTGAGGATGAAAAGAATTAGGTAACAGCCCGCTTTGATTACCGCTCGGCGCTTGATGCGACACAAGATTCGGCGACAGACAAAGTTTTCACAAGAAATTTGAATGCATTCATTCTTTTGAAGAAGACCGCCAGCGATTTACCGAGAGACACCGCTGCGTCTGACCAGAGCAAGGTGCGAGACTCTCAGCTTAGGATCGGTTCTACCGTGAGCCGCAGTCTGACCAGTGAGACAAGTGTTGTGGTGGATTCCTGATACGGGTGAAGGCGTTGAACGGACGGTATTTGGACGGTATTGGTGGAATCGAAGCGCCGCTGACAACTACTGCCAACCTGTGCGAGTTTAGAACGTTGCGGCGATTGCCTGGCTAACTTTATCCCCAAGGGAATGGTTCGGAGGCCGAGAAGCCGACGGACAGGGGGTGCTTTTTGGTTCACCCCCGAAAAATTTGGCTCAAAAAGCTTACGAGCGGCCCAGGTTTCGTGCATTTGGGGCTGAAAAAGCTTACAATCGGACTAGGAAATCCCAAAATTTCGGCCTCAAAAAGCTTAATTTTCGGACCAGGCCTTGGTGGAGTTTCCCGGGGCCTAGCAAAACCCGGCTGCTCGAAAACTCGAAGTCTTGCGAGTCGGTCTTCTGAGTACGTCCAAATTCCGAATGACTCTTGCGCGCTCGATATCGGTATGGTTTCGTCTCCCTTCTGCGATGACAATTCGATTTAATCATATCTTAGACTCAACTCTGTCTTGCATGCACGTCTAGATCTGTTGATGAACCACCAAAGGTGCCTTTCATTCTTCGGTATGTCTTCCATTCTAACATGCCATTTTCGTTGCTGCACACGTTACGTGTCCACGGCGTTTCAGCAAAGGGCGGTCCCGACTTGAATAAATCTATCAGATGGGATCTGTATGTAGGAATATTGTGACCTCCACAGCCTGCAGCTATTGGACGCCTTGCGCGTCGCCTTCTCCTGGGACTCACGCGGCTCTCTCAGCGACCACTCGGCGGCCCTGAATTACTATTGAGAGACTGCGAGGAGAGACACCGCGAACTGACCTCAGACCCACCGCGCCCACACAAATCAGTGCTCCTGGGATTGCGCGTCCTCGGCCCGCTGCCACCCTTCACATTGCTGTGCCGACCGCCTGAACAGAGGTTAAAACCAAGCGACCCACCATAAAACCGGTACCTTTCAACATTCTCCCCCATGTTCACCGACACCAATCCCGCCTTTGAGGAATATCGAGACCGAATCTTGTTGGAACTAAGCTACTACGTCTTCCACTGGATCGCCGGCCTGCGCAAGACCTGGAAGATGCACGAACACCTCGCGTTCCCGGAGCTCCCCCAAGACTACCCGCTGTCCCCCGACTTTCTTTCCAACCCAGCGTGCAACATTAGAACGAGCTTCGAATGGATCCACGAGTACCGCAGCATCGGCGAGCAAATCCACCACAGCTACGAGGTCGAGATTGGCTTCTTCGGTTACACGCTTTATGACAACGAGTTGTGGCCGCTGTGGGGAGTTCGCTCCGGTCAGCCTCGAATTTGTCGAGAGAGAAGGGAGGGCAACTCACCCGTTTCGCAGGGAGTGCGTGGCTCGCGCAGTTCGAAATCCCCCCCACCATCTGCGACGACGCCACATTTGTCCTCCACCCTGATTTATTCTTCACCGCCATGCTCGAGTCCCTCGGTGATACCGCCAAACCCATCCGCACCGTCAGCGTCTTTGAGCCTGTGAGCGCCATCGAGTTTGAGAGCCCCGACGGAGCGCAATGGCCGCCACCGCGCTTGTGGCGACAGAACTACCATCTCCAACTCCGAGACCATCCACCACAACAAATCGCCTCGCGCCTGGTGCAGGAGTGCTACCAGCATCCCTGGGGATGCAACAGGCCCGCGCCATATCCACACCAAGACGGCCTCCCGGCCTGCACCACGCACGGATAATATGTGAAGGACAAGAAAGTAGTGAGTGATGAGTCCAGGTACGCTTGAACGAACACGCACTCCGTGGTCGATTTAACGCGGCGTGGCGGAAGGTATTGCACGCTGCCGCCATGAGCCGCGCCGTCGAGAGGCTGCCGATTCGACCATCTCCCACCCGACCCCAATGCAACCCAACCCAACCCGAGCAAATAATCTCCACCCATGCAGCCTCAAGTCGTTCACGACGCTCTTCCCCCACGGACACTTCTCTTCGCAATTGTGTCGATACCTATGTCGTTGACTTGTGTACGCCGCCGTGTCGTAGTTAAAGGCACGGTGGCCCTGCGTAGTATAGCGTCGTATATCCTGGAGGCCTCAAAGAATAGGATAGGCAGCATCGGAGTTTGTAGACAGTCGTGTACATCCTAAATCCTACGTACCCTCACTACCTTATAATAATGAATTCCACGGTGCCGCCACAGGAAGATCAGATTTGAGAACAAGGACAATAAGCAGACTAAGCGGAAGGAGAACAAGGGCAGTTGACTTGGCGATTGAATAATACAAACCTACAGCAAGTGCAAGGCTCTAAGCAGCTGCCGCTGAGGCTGCACGCCTCGTGTGGTAGGAAATCCCCAAATTTAAGTGAAGGTTGACAATCGCGCCAAAGTCGTACGGGCATCACGGCAGACCCAAATCTGCTGAGAGCCTGAGGACTCACCATGTACTGGAGGTGGTTCAGCACAACCGGGACAAAGGGAAACGTGTCTCATGGCACCCAGGAATGACTCGGACCTGGTTTGAACAGGCAACTTCCACAATACCTGGACTAGATGTACGAGAAATTTGGCGGATGCAGAACTATGCGCTACCGAGTCAGTGTGGAGGTTGAGGTTGCAGTTGAATGAGTGGCATGAGTTTAGTGCGGTTTGGGAAAAGGACAAGATCCAACACGCACCTGCTACCTCCCAAAGCAACGTCAGGCGTGGAATCAGCAAAACTGGAGGTGGTTTAGCACAACCGGGGCAAAAAGAAGATTCTCAAGTGATGACTCGGGCCCGATTCGAACAGGCGACCTCCACGATAATTTCTGCGATGTGGAGCATATATAACGTTGGTGGATGCGGAACCATCCGCTACCGAGTCAGTGTCGTCTTTCTTTGCCGCACCGAGGTTGAGATGGAATTCGCCCGGGGAATAGACGTCCAAATTCAACGGCGGCTTCGGCTTGGGTCGAAGGATCCGGCCTGTGGTTGAACCTAGCAAAACTGGATTGAATCCAGTGTTGCTGAGGTGGTTTAGCTTACAGATGGAAAAATGTCTCAGATGCTACTTACCAAGGACTCGGGCCTGATTCGAACAGGCGACTTTCACGAGAATTTCTTGAATATGCAACACATAACGTTGGTGGATGCGAAACCATTCGCCACCGAGTCTTTGTTGGGCTAAGGTTGAATCAGTGTCGGGTAATGGTATCCTAAGGAGGATTCAGCGCTTCAGAAGAAGTACAAGGCGCGTATCTCGTACCTCGAGGCTCAGCAGGAGTTCGGGTGAGGGAAATTCAACACACCAACATATAGCGAAATTGAAGGGAGCAAGACGGAAAAAGCGGAGCGGGGAGACAGACCAAGTATACATATGAGCTCGGGTGGAGGTGACTGACCTTCCGTGCAATTGTCAGACCGCAGCCTGAGCTGGGAGATTTCAGTTCGGATGCTTTGGTAGGAGACATGCTCCCACTGCTCCGACGAGCTAGAAGAGGAATGAGATATCTATCTGGTTACCGTCTGCAGCAAGCGACAAAGAGCTGGAACTGTTCATGAGAAGAATGGAAGCGTAAAAGGAAAGGGAAAAAAAGACAAAATCTCATCGTGAATAGCAGTAACCCGGCCTGGTTCGAATTCCACAAGAATTTTCTTGAGTGACATACAAACTTGGTGGATGCAGACCATCTGCTACCGGGTCGATGCTGCCTTTGAACGAAGCTGAGTGTGTGCCACTAGGATCTTTACTGGGCGGAGAAAATCAAGGAAAATCGAACCGTGATAATTACCATCCCAATGGGAAGAAGCAGTCCCGCTAAACCCAATTTCCTCGCTCTTTAGCCCCGTCGTGGAGCCTACTCACTGAGCTACAACCGAGAAACCGAGATGAGGATCGGGAGCAAGCCCATTTGCGTGGCTTGTTTAACATCGGGGCCATTACCTTCCCTCGATGGAAGCGCCCTCATCAGGAAGGCGCCAATCCCTCATTACACCTCACCGCACCTTCCCGGCGTTCCCTTCCACTTTCCTCTCCCTGGCTGCCCACAACCCCACCGTGGACCTTGGAAGCACTTGCGCCGGCCTATTCAGCACTCGCACAGGACTCACAGCCAAAACACTGACATCTTACGAATAACTCGGATTTCTGGTCGTGCTCGAAGCACAGTCAAAAAAAACCTATGGCCGCGTCGGACGCTCAATGCCCCTACCCGGCGCTGTACCTGCTCCCCCTGGACGAGAGCTTCTACCCGCCGAAGAGAATACCGCTTCCGCTGCCGCCCGGGTCGGCAAACGGCCATGGGACTATCACTGCTGCGAATGGGCAGGCGGCGGCCCAGGGACGCGGCGCGGTGGTGCGCGTGGGGCGCCAGCTGAACCAAAAGACGGCGCCGGCGGCTGCGAACGGCGTCTTTGAGAGCCGTGTGCTGAGTCGGCAGCACGCGGAGGTATGGGTGGAAGGTGGACGGGTATGTGTTGTTTCTCTCCCTTTTGAGTTTTTACTCGTCCTTCTCCGCCTTTCTTTTAAATGGATTTTTGCGCCCCGACACTGCGGCTGACTACTCTCTCCGCAGATACTCATCCGCGACGTGAAATCCTCTAACGGGACCTTCGTCAACGGCGAGAGACTTAGCGGCGAGGGCGTCGAGTCCGATGCGTTTGAGCTCCGGACTGACGATATCCTGGTACGTTACTGTTTCGCCCCGCCTTCATTCTATTTCTCTCCTTCACTCTACTCTACTCTTTTGGCGCCCGTGTCGTGCCCGAGCCGGAGCTCTTGGGCGCTGGGCCCCGATCCCGCGCGTGTACCCTGCTCCCTCTCCTGCGTGCCCCGCCATAATCGCGGAAGCCTGGTGTCGTCAGCTGGGACCGCATGCAATACGCGTGCTTGGACCAGACTTCTTCGCGGCCGCCCTTTTTCTCGTTCTCGTCTCTGCCTCGACTCGCCCTCGGCGCGTGGCTTCGTCTGCCCCGAGCCCCGACCGATCGAGTCATGTGTAGATGTGTAGACCATGTTTGCTCAAGCAAGCATGCGCACTGCGTGTGGCGAGTCGTGTCGTGCATCTTCTCTATTCTTGCAGACGCGGACCGCAGACCCGTGTCCCTCGCCTCGTGTATCTGCACCTTTGCCTCTCTTTTTATGGGACGGACACCGTGGTCGTGTGCGCATACCGATTTCTTGGAGTGCGGGCTTGTGACACCTAGAGGTGCGGACATTGCGAATTTTGGCGATAGCGGGCAGCGGGCGAGTAAATCTCAGACCTCTATGCGGCGATCTGGTGCTGCTCAGGTCGCTGCTCGTTCCCTCGCTCTCCTTCCTCTGCATCGTCGACCTGTTTCCTCGCGACCGTTCGTCATGTATCCTCGACCTACACACCCTCTGCTCGGATCGCACTGCCATCCCTGGGGTTTCGCCGCTGTGCAGTCCCCTGTCGAGGCACAGAATGTAGAGCGCCCAGCGTGTGCATATGCCCTCGCCATTCGAGCTCCGTCTTCCTCCGTTCCTCCTTGAGCTTCCACGCACCCTACTCCACCTCGCAGCTTGCGTGACACTCGCTCGTCGTGTGTTCGAGGATCCCGCTTCTCTTATCGTCTCTTCGAGAGGCGGCCACGGCAAATGTCCGTGGCGGATCTTCGGAGTCTCGACTTGAATACGGCCATAGCGGGCGCGTCCGCCAACGGTGGTCTCAACGGTCGTCTTGCTCCCCATAGCACGGCAATGGTGTCTGGGTGCTGCGCATGTATCGCTTTCATACCCTCGAGTCACGTCCTCTGTGCTCGGATCGCATGATTATTGTGGTCTTCATATGTCCCCTTTACTTCCAGCCCTGCGGAGCATCGCTGGGTCTGTCGTGCGCCGTACCATTTTCCTCCTCCTTCTTGTATATCACTCTCCCTAATACCGCTCGCGTCCGCATCCATCCCGTACAAACCGACTAACATCTTCCCCAGGAATTCGGCATCGACATCCTCGGCGAACACGGCGAGGTCGTACACCGAAAGGTCGCCGCGCGCGCCACCTGCGCCTTCTCCCCCTCTGACGCACAGCGCGCCGTACGCGCCGAGGCACGCGCCTACCCGCCGCCGCCCCCTCCACCTCAGTCCACCTCGTCGTCGAACGCCGCCGAGGCGAACCCGTACAACCCCAACGTCAACGGCACGCGACACGCGCGGTCGGACTCTGCGTCCTCGTCGGGGATGGGGCGCGGGCAGGGGCAGGGCGGGCTGACGGGCATGGGCGGGATGGGTGCGGAGCGCATCCGGCCGTTGAGCATGGGCGTGGATTTGGATGGATTCTTGGCGCGGGTGCGGGATGGGCCGCGGGCGCAGTCGTCGGGCATGGCGGATGCGAGGGGTGTGATGGATGGCGTCGTCGATGGGCGAGGGGTTGGGGGTGGTGCAGGGCAGATGCGGGCGGGCGCGGGGAATGGATACGCGGGGCATGCGAGCCCGTCGCCGCCTGCCCCAACGCCACCGGCAACAGCGGTAGCAGCAACAGAAGGCGCCACGGCAGAGGAGGACCCGCTCGTAGCCCAGTTACGCGCACAGCTAGCAGGGACGCGCGCGGTGCTCGATCAGGCGATGTCCGCCGCGTCGAGCCTGGCGCTGCGGTACACTGCAGGCTCAGACGCCGAACACCTCAGCGACAAGGATGGGCAGAAGGAGCCGGAGATGGACACGGACGCCCTCGTCGAGGCGGGCACGCGGGGACTGCGCGAGGAGCTCGCGGCGCTGCGCGCGGAGGTGCGGGAGGCGGAGGAGGAGGACGGGCGCCGCAAGAGCCGGGGTCGCGCGGGGACGATACGCGCGGATGGGGAGCCACGGCCGCGGCACGCTGGGCGGAGGCGGGGGCGCACGGGGACGCTGCTCGCGGATGTGGAGCCGGCGTCGCCCATGCGCGCCCGCGCCAGAGAGAATGCCGATGAGGATGACGAGGAGGAAGAAGATGGCGAGGATACACGGAGGGGAGAAGGTGGGGACGCTGGCGAGGAGGACGAGGCGGAGGAAGGGTGGGCGGACGACCTCGACTTCCGCGCGGAGGTGGCGGATATGAAGGTGCCGCTGTCGCCTGCGTCGGCGGCGGCGCGGGTGGAGCGACTGCGAGGGGTGTTTGATGAGGACGACGATGTGGATGTGGTGGAGGGCTCTTCGGAAGGATCGTTCCTTGGGGGGTTGGGTGAGAGTGTCGGTGCAGCTGCGGCTGCGGCGGGCGCTGGGGAGGCTAGAGAGGACGAGGAGGGGAGGGGGCAAGAGGTCGAAGTAGAAGTGGATGGGGTAGATGCGCTGCGTGACGGAGACGAGGTGATACCAGCAACCTCGGATAGCGGAGCAGATGAAGCTGCGCTCGCTGCGCGCCTGGACATCCTCGCCGAGCAGCTCGTTACCCTGCAGAGTCGACTGGCAGGGATGCAAGCGGTGTCCGCTGGGGACGAGCGCGGCGAGGGGCGCGTGGCAGAGCTAGACGGACGTGTCCGCGCGTTGGAAGAGACGGTAGACGCCCCCTCCCCAATACCTGCGATCACCCTGCCCACTCTCCCTCCACCTGCGTCTACCCCGCCTCCCGCCGTACCCGCGGACGTCGAAGAGCTCAAATCCTCGCTCCTCTCCTCTTTCGCCTCCCTCAAAACCGAATGGGCGACCTTCCGCACCGAGGCGGAGGCGTTCTCGTCCCCGGCGTACCCCTACGCTCCTCGCGCCGACGACTCGGACTCGGACTCGGACTCCGGAGATGCGAAGAACACGCGGATAGGTCGGGGACCGACGTGGCGCGAGGATCCCGACGATGCGCGGGTGCCGGGGCGTTGGGGGCTGCTCACACCCGCGGGCAGCGTGCGTGCGTTGTCGCCTCATCGCAACGGGGCTGCCTCGGCGCTGGGGGCAGGTCCGAGGTGGCCTTTGGGCGCACTCTTGGGTGGTGACGGCTATGGTACCGGGAGTGCGTTCGGAGAGCATTGGAACGCGACCACTCCGGTGCAGGCGCTCGCTGCGGCGAACGGTGTCGCTCACCAGGAAGACGACGAGCACGATGGATCACCCAAGGATCATATGTCGCCGCCGCTGGGCGACCCCACGCGGAAGGAGGGCGCGAGCAAGACCAAGACTAGGACGGATCCTTTCCTCATCGTAGGCGCGCTCGGTGCGGGCGCGGCAATCGTGGCAGCAGCGTGGTGGGG